TTCACTTCTCAAACTACATCATCATTTAGCCATCGGAGTTAAAATAACATATGTAATGGCTTTAGAACTATATGCAAAGCCCAAACTGTTTTTCCTGAATCATCATTAGTCGTTGGAAGGTGGGAAAGTTAGTAACAGTAAGTGTATTCATAAATGAAAGAGAATGCCAAGGTAAAATATTTCATAAAAGTTTTGTGAAATATTTTCTGACGCCTTATACAATTTAATACCATAAAATTATAGAATATAATAAGATTCTAATTTATACTTGCGAGGGGCCTTCTTGTAAAAATCTATGGCCTGGCTGGTGTGGCTCAGTGGGTGAGCGTCAACCCATGCCCCTGGAAGTTGCTGGTTCTATTGCTAGTCAGATCACATGGCCCATTGTAGGCTCGATCCCCAGCAGGGGGTGTGCAGGAGGCAGCCCATTGATTTCCCTCTTCCCTCAGTCTCTAAAATCAATAAAAACATCTTTTTTAAAAAAGTTATCTATAAAAATGGAAAAGAACTATGAACCAGTGATTGTCATGTTCCACAGCAGCATACTGCCCAAAAAATACTAGACTAGTGTGAATTGTGGAGAAACTAATCCTAACTTTCTCTAAATAGTTATTTACAAGAAAAGTATTTATTAGATAAATTATAAGTAATATTTTACATATATACTTTGTTTTTTAGCAATGGTGATAGAATGAGAAGAGAAATATGAGCTCCAAAGCCTCAACTATTCCTAATGCTGCATCCCCACCTCTAATCTCTAATATGGTATATTCTCTCTCTCTCTCTCTCTCTCTCTCTCTCTCGCTCTCGCTCTCGCTCTCGCTCTCGCTCTCGCTCTCGCTCTCGCTCTCTTTCTCTCTCTCTCTCTCTCTCTCTTTCACTCTCTCTCTTTTAATATGGTTTTTTTTTTTTTTTTGGAGATAATAGAAGCTTTGTTTTGAGCATCTCTTAAAAACAAGATTAATCAGGTCATACAATACAGTTCAACCTATTTATCATCTAGTGTTTTAGATTTGATCTGTAATTTGTGTACATTTTCATTAGATGTTTAAACAGTTACTTGTAAATATTTAAATTCAAATAGAAGTTCTGCTGGCAGTGGTGCATAGTTTGAAAACACTAGACTTGATAGAATGAGTCAGTTTGGTAAAGAGGTCCTCTGGAGTCAGATGATGGGCTTACATCCCAGATCTGCCAGTGCAGCAGTGAGGTTAGACCCTAACTTCCCCACTGATAAAATTGGGGAGGGGGCGATAGCTAACTCATACGGTTGTTTGAAGATGAAATGAGATCATGCATATAAAGTACTTAGCATAGTAACTGAAATACAGAATATCCCCTATTACAATTTCTGTTATAACTACCATAAAATTATTAAAACCTCTTTTCTGCAATAGAGCTCTCAGTTTAAACTCAGAGAAAATGATGGCAGCAGTATAATATTTTAATCTCCCATATGAATACATTATAACTAGGATAGCCACAGACCCTATTCTACAAAACTAAAGGATAAAGTTTCCCCATGAATGTGAATATCCAAGTAAGTGAGAACAATCACTGCCCAACATGGTCTCAATATCTGTGTGAATGGAAGGCAGGCAGCTGGTTTCTGACAGTCTTTTTTTTTTTTTTTTTTTAATTTATTGATTTTGTACAGAGAGGAAGGGAGAGAGGGAGTTAGAAACATCGATGAGAGTCATCGATCAGCTGCCTCTTGCACACCCCCTACTGGGGATATGCCCGCAACCAACGTACATGCCTTTGACCGGAATCGAACCCGGGACCCTTCAGTCCCCAAGCCGACGCTCTATCCATTGAGCCAAACCGGTCTTGGCTGGTTTCTGACAGTCTTAAGAACAGAACTATAACATTGCCCACAGTTTCTCACTAGAAGGTGCAGTGGGCCAATCCGAGAACAGAAGCTGAAACTAGGAGGGGTTCTACAAGTCCCCAATTTCAGCAATGCAGTAAGATGTAATGATTGTGCTAGAACGGTCTGGAGCCTATCCTATGTAGCACTTAAAAATAATGAGACAGCCCTAACCGGTTTGGCTCAGTGGATAGAGCATTGGCCTGCGGACTAAGGGTCCCAGGTTCAATTCTGGTCAAGGGAATGGACCTTGGTTGTGGGCATATCCCCAGTTTGGGGGTGTGCAGGAGGCAGCTGATCGATGTTTCTCTCTCATCAATGTTTCTTAACTCTATCCCTCTCCCTTTCTGTAAAAAAATCAATAAAATATATTTTTTTAAAAAGTAGTGAGACAGCATCAATTGTTTGCCTCCCATATTCACCCCTAGGGATCTAGCACTGAGGAAAAACAACTAGAATTAGAACCCAAATTGGACAGAATAAGGACAATAGGACAAAGGGAAGAGATTCTAGTCTAGGTAAATATTGGGAAGAAAGGCCTATATAGACCCATATAATCTTTTAAATCACTTTGTAAAAATGAAAAGGGAATGTTAGGACCATGGATCTAAAAAAAAACAAAAAACATTACCCTCCCTTCTAAAAGTTCAGAAAAACTTTTTTTTTCTAAATGAGCAGCCAAAAAGGATTACAATCAAACCCCATTGAGAGTTATAAGAAGCAGACCAATATCTCCATAGACCCAGTGGTCGGCAAACTACGGCTCTTGTTGATCCACATGCGGCTCTTTGGCCCCTTGAGTGTGGCTCTTCCATACGGTCTGGGCAAGTCTAGTTTTAAAAAGTGGCGTTAGACCTGGGCATATGCTCTGACTGGGAATCAAACTGTGACCTGGTTTATAGGCAAATGCTCAACCACTGAGCTATGCTGGCTGGGTGATTTATATTTTTCTAATAATTTCCTAGGATAAATTCCTAGAAGTAGAATTTCTGGGTCATAGACTATGTCCATTTTGAAGGATTAGTGGTACAATTTAGCAAAGTGCCCTTTACAATAATGGTAGCAAGTATTCTCCCACTAATCCTGTAGGATGGCTCATTTTCCCACGTTCTCGCTGTCACTGGATATGATTGTTATATATGTTTAACAGTCTGTTGGCTGAGAAATTGTAGGTCTTTTTAAAAATTGTCTTATCTGATATATATAATAAGGATGTATTTTCTTCTTTTTTTAATTGAACAACTATAGAAATGTAAATTCTTCATCATAGTATTTTAAATGTTGCTATTGTACTTTTTCAACATAAAAGACATATTTTCCTTTTAAAAAAAAAAAGTGGCGTTAGAAAAAGTTTAACAAATTTGGCTCTCAAAAGAAATTTCAATCGTACTGTTAATATTTGGCTCTTTTGGCTGAGTTTTGCAGACCACTGCCATAGACAATTGAAGGCACACCAGAAAGACATCACCATGAGACTGATGAAAACTTAATATTTCTTATTTAAATGTTTTTAAGTTTTTTATTTCTTAATTCTTACCCAAGGATATGATTTTTTTTTTTTTTTTTTTTTTTTTTTTTTTTTTTTTTAGCAAGAGATGGGTAGGGAGAGAGAGAGAGAGCAGGAGAAACATTGATGTAAGGGAGAAGCATCAATTATTTCCCTCCCATATTTGCCCCAACCAGGGATTAAACACAAAACTTAGGCATGTACCCTGACTGGGAATCGTACCTGCCACCTTTTGGTGTTTAGAACAATTCTCCATCTGAGCAATACCAGCCAGGGTAAACCTAATATATTTTTAAAGCAATTATAACAGGAAATATGTAGCATTTAGAACTATATCAATAAAAATTGGGAAAGCTGAAAATTAAGCTACCAAGTCTTAAAAAATGAGGAAAAAGGCCAAAAGAAAGTGGAAGGAAATAATTAGTAAAAAGTGGAGAAAAGGGGAGAGAGAGTAACAAAGACAAACCACCAGCTACCCTACTTAAAGAAAAAAGGGGGGAAACAAAAATTAAAATGACATAGAGATAACCATAAATGGAAAATTTCAAAATTATAAGACCACTTTGAATAATTGCATATAATAAATTAGGAGAAAAAAAACTTTTTTTAGAAAAATGCAAATTGCCAAAATTTACCCTAGTAAGATACAAAAATTCAGAACAAACTATTACCATAGAAGAAACATAGTTAAAGGATTCCTTACCAAAAAAGCATCAGTCCCAGATTGTTTTAAGATTTCTACCAAATTTGTAAGATACTCAATGTTTAAATAATTCCAGAAACTGGAAAAAGAATGTTGAACCTCAAAATGCCAAAAAAAAAAAACAACAAAAAACAAAAAAACTTCCAAATTCATTTTATAAAGTGAATGTAATGGCATTTTCTCTAAAGCCTGACAAAGAGAAAATTATAGATTCTCAGGAATATTGCAAAATTTTAATCTATTTGCAAACAATCCACTAGCACTTTCAAAAAGTAATAAATCATGACTACGTTGAGTTTATTACAGTAATGCCAGGAAAATTCAATATTAGACAATCCATTAATATTTCTATTTAAAAAGTTAATGAGAATAATCCAGGAAGGGTATTTGAGTACTCATTCATGTTAAATATAGTTAGGTAGAAACTGATGGTAATTCATTAACATTGTACCTCTGCCCAAAAACCAGCATCTTAATGTTGAAACAAAAGAGGCTTTCCAACTCAAGTCAGGAACAAGGCCCACTATCTCCTCTACTACTTAACATTGGGTTGGAGTTTTAGCTAATGAAGTTTGGGAAGGAAGAGGTGAAACTATTTGCAGATATGATTTTCTATCTGGGAAACCTGAGGAATTTGTAGAAACACTCTGAGAACTTAGTAAAGTATCAGTTTATTAACAGAAATATCAGTAGCCTTCACAAGACAAAAAAAGAGTACAAACCCTGATTCCATTTAAGTGAAGTTCAAAATAGGAAAAACTTACCTATGGTGTCAGAAATCAGCGCCCACTTGCAGTCACTACCTCCCTCCCCAAAGGTAAGCACTACCCTGAGGTAATCGCCAATTAGTTTTATCTGGTTTTGAACTTGATATAAAAGGATTCATAACATATACATTTTTTTTCAACTGTCCTCTTTAGCTCAACAAGGACTGGAAGAGTACAAGGAAGCTTCTCTGGTGCTGGTAATATTCAATTTATGATCCAGGTGCTGGTTCCTAGGTGCATTCACTTTATGAATATGAAGCTGTCCACTTATGATTTATGCGCTTTTCCATATGTATAATCATAGTTCTGTAAAATGTTTACTAAGAAGAATAAAGGACTACACACACACACACACACACAAACCTAAATTAGTTAGGAAATATATTTGTAGAGAATTTACCTTTTATGATTTCAAAAAAGAAATGTGTAAACTTAAGACATGTCCAAAACCTATGAGGAAAGCATAAAAATAAAACACTTAAAAATTGTCTTGAACAAAATGAAAAGATTAAACCATGTTTTTAGGGAAGACTCAACATCAAAACATGTTTTCCCCTTAGGTTAATTTATAAATTTAAGCTATCTCAATGAAAATTACCATAGTTTTTTTGTTGTTGTTTGTTTGGGTTTTATTTAGAGAACATATGAGAGTAACTATGAAAGTGGAAAAAAATAAAGGGAACTAGCCCTACCAGACATTAAAACATACTCTTAAATCCTCCCAATATTACATACATACATAACCAAATACACACATATATGAGATATGCTAGATATCTTGTACTATAACTTTACATTCATCAATATATTATGAATGTCTTTCACTATCCATACTGTGCTTTAAATGGTTGCATAATATCTCATTGCATAAATGTACCAATTGGTGCTTTGTTTTACCCAATTATAAAAATATTGCTATAAGATCTTTGAAAGTATATTGCTGCCTACATGTAATTATTTAAGCTACATTTATAGCTGTGGAGTTGCTGAGGCAAATAATACACACGTTATAAATTTTTGATAGCTTTTGCCACACTGCTTTCTAAGGTTGTACTGGTAGTACTTTGATACAGATTTTAAATGTGATCAGAAAGTCTTAAAATTCACTGGAAGAAGTATGAGTTTAGGCTCAAAGCCAATTTCCCTCATTTAATCTTAGATGAGCAAGTCAAGGGGTTGGTAGAGCTATAAAAAGTCTCTAAGAAATGAAGGAAAATAATCATTTTGACAAAGTATATATAAGTAGCTTGCTCTAGAATGTTAATGGACTTTTACCTTGCCATCTGAATTTAAGCAGTTGAGTACCATGCTAGAATTCGGTGCTACAAAATGTTTTTTTCTGCTGTAGGGTATACTATAGAAAATGATTCAGTGGTTAAATTATAGAAATATGCATGTAAGAATAATTGTTTAGGCAATACCTTTTTTTTCTTTTATAACTGATACTTATTTTAAAAATAAGGCTCAGTGGATAGAGCGTCAGCCTGGGGACTAAAGGGTCCCAGGTTCAACTCTGGTCAAGGCATGGCATGTACCTTGGTTGTGAGCACATCCCCAGTAGGAGGCATGCTATATTTCTCATCTTAAGGCTACTTCCAACTTACAAATGTTGCTGTGAAGATCATATGTTTTTCTGTGGCTTTCCTAAAAAGAAATTTCTGGATTAAATAATGTATACTTTAAAAGTATTGGTAATAACTGTTAAATTGCCACCCAAAACCAGTATAGCTTTTCAGAAACTCATCAATAGGATTTCCTCAGAAAGAGGAATGGAGAGGGAGAGAGAGAGAAAATCAGTAATGAAAGAGAGTCATTGATCTGCTGCCTCCTGCAAGATCTCTGCTGGGGACCAATCCCACAGCCCAGTTATGTGCCCTAACTGGGAATCGAACTGTGATCTGGTCCCTGGGTATATGCTCAACCACTGAGCCACACCTGCCAAACCAACAGGATATTAAAGTACCTCATATCTCCTGCAACACTGGATTTTAACAATCTTAAAATTGTTCCCTTCTGCATGAAAAGAAGAAAAGTATTCATTTGTTGATAAACAGCATTTGTAGAAAACAAATCTAAGTGTTGGGGGAGTTTTATTTTTTATGTGTTACATCAATGAATGCTAATTGGGCTGTGTCTGAGATAGTGAAATCAAAATAATGTTTTTATTTTTATATATATATATATTTTTACTAATTTCAGAGAGGAAGGGAGAGAGAAGGAGAGATAGGAATATCAGTGGTGAGAAAAGCATTGATCTGCTGCCTCCTGCACAACCCACACTGGGGATCGAGCTGGCAAGTGGGCATGTGCCCTGACCTGGAATGGAACTGTGATCTGGTTCGTAGGTCAAGGCTCAAGCACAGAGCCATGCCAGCCAGACAAAATCATGTCTTTATTAATATAGAATTAGCACAATAGTTTTCAAAGTGTGGCCTGCAGACAGGAGCAGTGGCATCACCTGGAAACTTTCAGAAATGCAAACTCTCAGGTCTCACCTTGGACCTACTGAATGAGAGACTCTGGGGCAGGGGCCAGCTATCTGTTTATTAAGCCCTCCAAGTGGCTTTGGTACACACTCAAAATCTGAGGACCAATCACTGATTTAGAAAAAGCAGCTTGGGCAGGAGAGACCAGAGAGAACCCCATAAATGTTAAATGGGGGTGTTAGTTAACAGTAAGCTCAGTATGATTCAACGATGTGATCTTTACTCCTGCCCAAAATAACTAATATGATATCAGTCTATGGTAATAAATGCTCAAATATGCAAAGAGAATATTAAATTTATTTTCTCTGATGGACCCAATCTTCATTTGCCTGTATTTTTTACTGTCAAGGGGCAGAGCTGGGAGTGGCGGCATTTACATTGGTCAACTAACAATTTCAGTCTTTTAATATCAGTATTTTGTTTTTTCCTCCTGCTCCTTGTGTTCTGGGTATTGGTGGAAGCCTCTGTTGCAGGTTACTGCTCCAGTTTGATTCCGGGGCTGGTAACTATGGAGGTGTCTGCTGCTGGTCTACTTGGGCCTTTTGAGGTGTGCTACCTGCCGTTGGCCTCTGGTTGCACAGTCCCAGTACTATGGCCTCTGCCCTGATGTTAGGCCTCCAGCAATCTACCTGACCTTAGCAACTCCATGTCTACACCCCTCAGCCCCCTGAACCCACACACTTCCTTGGCATATAGAGAAACCCCTAGCTGTTAATGTCTAAGGCACTGTCTCCATTTCATAAACCTCCACTCCAATGCTGCTGAGCCTCCCTGGATGTAGAAGACAAGCTGACACGCCCAGGACTGCTGCCCTTCTAAGCAATGCCTGGAGAAGCAGGTCACAAGGACCATCTCACCACGTGTCTACATGTTTGAGAGCTACAAATCAAACCAGAAAATTATGTTCTATTGTCATAGGTTGGCAAATATACCAAATAGCAGATCATACCAAATCATTGTGAATAGCACAGCCCGTAATTAACTTCACGTTCCAGCCCCGGCCATGAGTTGGCAGTGACCACTGCTGGGCAGGAGGGAAGTGGACAAAGGGAAAAGATTTCTTGCTGGCTTGCCCTTCTGGCTCCCTGCAATCACTGGGAATATCCACGGAATAAACATCCCCTTTCCCTTGGAGGGAGAGAGGAAGGGGGTGGTCCTTTCATCCCCACTAGATCTCTCTCTACCCACCTGTACCCCATCCCTCTGATCACAAGATTTCTCTTTATTCCACACAGTCTGAGTCAGGTGATCTTTGCTCACAACACATGCTCAGCCTCCACATCCAACATCACTCAAGCACCTCAAAGGAGCCTGAGGTTCAAAGGCCAGGTTCAAACTTAGAAATCTTGTCCTCCTTAGAGCTCCCCGCCCAAGGCCAGGCTCTTTCCCACCCTAGGCACTGTCACACACTGTGAGGAACTCCCTCTAACTCCCACAAACAGCTGTTGGATCTTCACACCTTGTACGGTCCAAAGGGGAGCCAGGGGAGAGCCCCACGCAGGCTCTGGAAGTGGGTTCAGGTAAGACTGCCATGGTCTTTGGTGTGTGAGGCATGCTCTCCAAGGGGCCCCACCAACTCCGCATCTCCTGGGGAGCACTGGAATGGGGTCCTCTAGAGTTCTGGCAGGCCACCAGCCCCTCTGCTCTTAGGTTTTTCATGCCAGTCTGGACTTTGATACTCAGCAATTTTACTATGGATTAGAAATTAAATAATTATTTTAAATTTCGTGATAATGGTTTGTGTTGTATAAAAATATTTTAGAGATGCATTCAGAATTTGGATCGTCAAATTCAGAGCTTTGCTTTAAAAACATTATAGTGAAACTCACCTCCAAAACTTTCTATTCAGAAGATAGGAATCTTGTTGTTTTAGGCTCCATGGGAATTTCTGACGAAAAGCCAGGTTTGGGGATCACTTTTTTAAAAAACTCAAAAGGTCCCTTCTTACATGAGAGAACATGATCTTAAGGTGACTTCAGGCTGGTTAATGAATTTCTCATAAAAATAGTAGGTGAGAGCCACATCTTTAGGAGGCAATTAAGTTTCTAGCAAAAAAAAAATATATATATATATATTTTATTTTATTTTTAATTTTTTTTTTCCGGGGTGGTTCATCAGTAATTGGAAGCCTGGGGATTTGAGAGAGAGAGAGAAAATAAAAGTTGGCTCCATGTTAATTGACTTCTTAGCATATTGAAAATATTTCTATTTTATCTCAGCATCCCTCATAGATGAAATCTAAAAGTGTAGGAAGAATTACTAAATTTAAAGCCTCTTAATATCTAAGTAGACAAACGAGTTTCAGGAAGCACTGCTTCTAAGTTTTTTCAATGTTTTACTGCCTACTAGGAGGGGAGGAACACAGATTACAGAATGTAGAGCTCCAAAATTGTCCCAGCTTTCGCCTCTATAATAGGCATGTACTAACATTACTTTAATGTCTAAATGAGCTCATAGCGCTTACTCCACCTTTTTAAAATGAGGTTTTACCTAAGTCATAGGAGATTGCAAACTATTGTAGCTAATAACTGTTGAATGTTTAATACTCTATGTATTTATGGGAGGCACCATAACTTCTGTGCTTATAAATATGTAATAATATAATGGAAGTTACCCATTAAAATTTTAATATTGAATAAAGGGTATATCTGTAATGTGCTTGCCCCCAGAGTTCTATGATGGTATATTTGGGGAGGAGAGAGAAGTTGGTGGGAGGGTTATCAGTGAAGATGCTTGACTATTAAAATGAAATGCTTTTCCCTCCATTTCCCTTTTATTTTGCAATGTTACATCTCATTTCAGTTATGTTTCACTGTTGTCTGAGAAGAGGGCAGATTTGTCAACTGAGAACACAGCTACAAAATATTCTGATTTATGGGGAACTCTTCTATTTCAAAGATTTATTTCCTTATTAACTGAGTCTGGGTAACTTAGCAACCTGGCTTTAAACACAGGAGACCTAATGATTTTCATTTTTTCCCCTTAAATACACAGTTCAAGAAGAATTTCAGACTAGATGCCCTATGTGGAAAGTGATTGTCACTACCCAAACAAGTGCCTCAAGTACCACACTTTTAAACCATATTCTGTTAAACAGGATAAAAGAAGGTCTCCCTGTCACACCCAACCCCTCATTCCCTAGTCCTCTGCAGGAGCAACAAGTGTGGGCAGTTTGTTTCCTAAAAATGGACTTGAAGATACAACTCCATATGTGTGAGTATGTTTATAACCATACACTTACATATAATAGTGACCCAAAGACCAACTGACTCTGCAAAAATTCAATTTTCATTCTTTTGACATAGCCTGGCATTTTTCTATTTCAGATATCTAGTACCAATTATTAGGAAAAATTGCAAATTTAATCATCTTCATTATATTTGAGAAAGGGCTGAGGGAGCTAATAAAATAATTTATAGAACCATAGAAATAATTAAACAATAATAACTAGAAGGTCACAGAACAAGATTCTTATTTTTTAATTCCACCATTCCTCAGTTGCCACTGCATTGCAAGTCTCATGGGGACCATTAGAGTTTAGGAGAAAGACAGCAAAGATAACATGCCTGAGGAAGGAAGTGGGGAAAGGTTCAGGGGTACTCAAGAGAGAACATGCAGAGGGTCCTTTATCTTTAGGATTTTTATCTGTTTTCTAAAAGTGGGAATTTTATGGGAGATCTCAGGAATATCTTAGTAGCATATTCATCAGCTTTCCCCAGTGTGTGTCCTTTAATATGCTGATTCATCAAAATGAGCATGTAGCTGGTTAGGGTCATTTTCTGGTAAGTTTTACCTTCAAAGAATGTCATCAAAGAGGGACCGGGACCAAGGTGAGTCTGTCTCCATAGGGTCCAAATGTATAAACTATTTGCTCCTAAGTAAGACCTTGCAATTTATTACCTGGCTGTGCATTGCTCTGCTGACTTATTCTCTGGCTGTAAATTGCTTGTCTGTTTAACTATTTGTCTCCATTCTACTCACCAAGGAACTTTCCTAGCTTCTTACTATCCTACCTCAGTGCTGGGAAAGGTGAGCAAACAGGGCTCCCCACCTAGCTAAGTCCCATTCTGATGATTTCTAGCAAGCCATTCCCTCAGCCAGATCCCATTACTGTATGACACAGGAATCATAAAATGTGCCGCCTGGGTCAGTAGAAATAGTAACAACTGATGTGTTCCTATCTCTAAGATGCCCGGAGCTCTTCAGAAGAGAGGACGGGCTGTTTGGTTTGGTTCAGAGTTTGTATAACTGAGAGGACATATATCAGCCAGCCCAGTAGAATCTCGCAAATATGAAAGGACTTGGCTACATTGCCCATGTTTTTATAACCAACTTTATTTTACAGATTTACAGAATAATTGCAAAGATAGGACAGAGAGTTCCCAAATGCTCAGCATCCAGTTTCCCCTATTAACACCTTGCATTAGTATTGTACATATGTTATAATTAATTAATATTAATGCATGATTAACTATATTCAGATTTCCTTAGGTTTTACCTGGTGTCCTTTTTCTGCTCCAGGACCCCATCCAGGGACCACACCACCTTCGTCATCATGTCTCCTCTTGGCTGTGACAGTCTCTCCAACTTTCCTTCTTGATGACGGACAGTTTTGAGGGGTACTGGCCAGGTGTTTTGTAGAACATCTCTCAAATGGGGTTTGTCTGATATGTTACTCATTATTAGAATGGGATTATGGGTTTTGGCAAGGAAGATAAAAGTAGAGTGCATTTTTATACCTTTCTACGTTTTAAAAATTCCATGTCAGTTTCTCTCTATCTCCTCCAATCTCCAAACTCATTTTTATACTGATAGTGCCTGTTAGGATGAAGAAAATGGAGCTTCATTCTGGTACGTATTACCGGAAGTCATTCTTTTTATTTTATTTTATTTCTTATTGATTAAGGTATTACATATGTGTCTATATCCCCCTAATTGGATATCACTAGTGGGAATGGACTCCTCAGAGAGAATTTCCCGGGATGAGTTACTTAGAGCCACAGACTTGATAGCGAGTGAATTGGTAAGAGAGCCCAAGCAGAGGCAACAAGTCTGGCATAGAAAATAGAACCATCCTGGCAGCTGACCTAGAAGAAGACACTGCCTGTGGGGTTTTCTTTTTTTTTCTCCCTATTCTGGTTTTTTTTTTTTTTCCTTTATTTATTGATTAAATTATTACTTATGTGTCCTTATCCCTCCATTGCCTCCCATAATATCCCCCTCTTATGCCCTCACACCCCTCGTGTCTGTGTCCGTTAGTTATGCTTACCTGGTATATGCATGCATGCAAGTCCTCTGGTTGATCTCCTGAAGGATTTTCTAATCCTTTGTGAGTAATGAAAGACTGGAATGTGGAATAACAAGTGATAATAATATGGCCACAATCAAAGGCACCTGATCAAAGAAACACCCACGCCTTGTCAGTGGAGTAAAGGCAGGAAGTGAAGAGTTTATGAATATGTCAGGTATCAGATGGTGACTAAGATTGAAATGGAGCTAATCCTGGATGTATCCTGAAGTTAAATCCTAAGGCTCAGAAGGCTTCTAAATAAGCTAACTGACAAAACAAGTGTTCTGGGAAAAATCAGGAAATCTTAAACAAACAAACAAACAAAGCCTTTCTTGCCATCCGTATGCACCTGCTGGCAGATGGAGAAGGCAGATGCTTAGAGTTTCTCAGGAGCGTGTCTGAGTTATACTTCCTCGTGTCTTCTCCCATACAGTTTAAACTTGGAATCATGTTCAGAGAGCAATTAGCCAGGGCCATGAAATGGAACCATGCCCACTGGCCCTTAATGGAACAGTGAACTTGGACTCTGGCCACTCAGCCAGTCAGCTACTGACCTGTCAACACAAATAAGCTTCAACATTCACCTTCATTTTAGAGCTCTGGTAAGGACTAGAGGAATTTTGTTATCTGAACACTATTGGTAATCTGTAAAGTGCTTTTCATTGAGAAGTATTGTCACTGTTCTGTTAAGCTCTTTGCCCAGGTCTCTGTTTCTGAAAAATGTGACAGCCCTAGCTGGTTTGGCTCAGTGGATAGAGCATCTGCCTGTGGACTGAAGGTCCTGGGTTGGATTCCAGTCAAGGACACATGCCTAGATTTTGGGCTTGATCCCCAGTAGGGGTCATGCAAGAGGCAGCCGATCAATGATTCTCTCTCATCATTGATGTTTCTCTCTCTCTCTCTCCCTCTCCCTTCTTTTCTGAAATCAATAAAAATATATTTTAAAAAATAAAAAGAATGTGACAAAAAAGGATGTGGTGATTTCTCTTCATTTACCCTTTTCTCTTACATTTATACTCCAGGCATTATAGTATAGATGGTGCAAGTGAAGAATAATAACAACAGAGACTTTATTGAGCCGTCAGTATGCTGGTTATAATTCTAAGCTCTTTATGGGTATTAATTCATTTAATCCTATGACAACTCTGTTATTATGCTCATTATTACTGATGAGTAAACTGAGATAGAGTAGTTAAATGAATTGCTAAAGGTCAAATAGCTCTAATATGGCTATATCAGCTGGAACTCGTTTTTGTTGTATAATTAATAACTCAAATGACATGCTTTAAACAAATTAGAGTTTAATTTTATCTTGAGTAAAAGAAGATGGGAGGTAGGTAGTCAGAGGCTGGAATGGCAGTCTCACTATTCTTAGGAACTCAGGCTCATCTTTCTCCTTTCTCTAGATGCCTTAGCACATGGCTGTCCTCGGGTTCTCCTCAATAGTCCAAGATGGGATTGGAATGCCAGGTGTCAAAACTGATTTAGTTAGAGAGAAGGAAGGAGAGGGCCAAAGGGCTTTCCCAGAAGCCCCACCCAACAACTTCCACAGGCATTTCACTGGTTACCCATAGCTGCAAAGAAAGCTGGGAACTGTTTTTCTTTTTCCCCTTCCTTCCTTCCTTCCTTCCTTCCTTCCTTCCTTCCTTCCTTCCTTCCTTTCTTCCTTTCTTTCTTTCTTTCTTTCTTTCTTTCTTTCTTTCTTTCTTTCTTTCCTTCTTTCCTTCTTTCTTTCTTTTATTTCTTTTTTTCTCTTTTTAAGTTGGACACATTTCTGAAGGTTCTGTAAAAGAAAAAAAGATACAATAAATTTTAGACTCATATACCATAGAATACAGTTTCTCAGAATAGAATTGTGGCTTTTTTTTACAGGTGAAAATAAGGCTGTATTACCATTTTTATTTCCCACTCGCAGTAGTCATTTGAAAATGCAAACAAGGTAATGTATACAACTTTTTTAAAGTTAGAACTTTGCTTAGATTTCTAGTTTTCCCTTATCCACAATTTAGTTATAGTTGATGAAACTCTGTAACTTCATAGTATTCAAGTGAATATTGTAGACTCTTACAATGAAGAATAAAAGAAAGACAGAAGTGGTTTTAGAAGAAATACTTTTCTTATTTTTATTCTGAAATTTTTATCTGGCGGTTTTTGGGATTTTTTTCTGCAAGATATTACTCTCAGATTTCCCTTTCAAAGAGCAAATGTCCAATATTAAAGTTTTCATTTGTCTTTTAAGGAAAGAAAGGAAAATAATATTTGAGTTGATATTGAGACAATTACTTAATTGGGTTATACTGTACTTGATTATGGCTAAAACCTTTCTTTTAATATGTTTCTCCAGTTATAAAGTTTAGTCATTCATTTATCCATCCACTAAATACCTCTGGGTTTAAAAGGTTTTGGATACTTTATATATGATAATCATTTCTGTCCCATTGTTAACAAAATAATTGGGTAATGTGAAACAAATTTTTAAAGTTTGTACTTCAACAAGTACTTTTACAATTAAACAGAAAGTATTTATACAGATAAACCAAATTTTGTGTATTGAAAAGAAACCGAAAACTTTTGGAATCATGAGATAAGAATATTTCAACTAGCCTAAACCGGTTTGGCTCAGTGGATAGAGCGTCGGTCTACGGACTGAAAGGTCCCAGGTTCAATTCTGGTCAAGGGCATGTACATTGGTTGCGGGCACAGCCCCGGTAGGAGGTGAGCAGGAGGCAGCTGATCGATGTTTCTCTCTCATCGATGTTTCTAACACTCTATCCCTCTCCCTTCCATTCTGTAAAAAAATCAATAAAATATATATATTTTTAAAAAGAATATTTCAACTATGTACACATTTCACATTGAAAAACATATTATGAATTTTTACATATAAGGATACTAAAAGGTAAGTACTGACAATTTTCCTTCTTAAGAGTAAACAATATGTTGTGAAATGCCTCTGTGACATACTGTGCTCTCCCCTAGAGCTGATACAACTCTAAAATAGACATATTTGCAGAAAATATTCTCATTTATATTAATGTAGCCATATTGCTTCTCTAAGGAAATATTTATAAACATTGCTACTGTGTTCCAGAAATGTTTTAAGAAGAAAATCATTGTATATGAATCCTCTACAATGGAAAATATTATAATAACGTTTCCCCTGATAGAATTCAAAATTGTGCATGTCACAGTAAACAAAGTGATATGAGTTCTGCATCAGAGCCTAGGGCTATGGCTGGGGTGTCATGATTCATTTTCAGTTCGTTATTAGCACTTATTGCCTGTCTGACACCAGACAAGCTATTCAAACTACTGGATTCTTCCTATTTTATTTATTTTATTTTATTTTATAATATTTATTGCCAGAGTTCACAGCCAGCATTGGCTGTGGCAGGAAACTCAGAGCACCCAGAAGCTTCAGTACACCAGTTGGAGACCTGTCTAAATGAGTGAGTATTGGGGAACAGAAAACACAGAACCTTCCACTTTGATTATGGATTCACATAAGAAGCAAATGAACTCAAAGAGAAACCCCATACCACTGGCACTCCATCCCATTCCTCCCTCCTCTGAAGCTCTGGCAACCACTAATCTATGTTTGTGCTCTATGAATTTTCCAATTATCACATTTTGAATAAATGGAATTATACAATAGAAAGAAGAAGAAGAAGAAGAAGAAGAAGAAGAAGAAGAAGAAGAAGAAGAAGAAGAAGAAGAAGAAGGAGGAGGAGGAGGAGGAGGAGGAGGAGGAGGAGGAGGAGGAGGAGGAGGAGGAGGAGGAGGAGGAGGAGGAGGAGGAGGAGGAGGAGAAGGAGGAGGAGGAGGAGAAGAAGAAGAAAATGAAGCCAAAACCGGTTTGGCTCAGTGGATAGAGCATTGGCCTGCGGACTGAAAGGTCCCAGGTTCAATTCTGGTCAAGGGCATGTACCTTGGTTAAGGGTACATCCCCAGTAGGGAGTGTGCAAGAGGCAGCTGATCAGTGATTCTCTCTCATCAATGTTTCTAACTATTTTTTTAATAGACTATACTATGCATCCATAGAGCAAATGTTGCATAGTTATATCTACATCTTTTTAGAAAATATATATTTTATTGATATTTTACAGAGAGGAGGAAGGGAGAGAGATAGAGAGCTAGAAACATCGATGAGAGAGAAACATTGACCAGCTGCCTCTTGCACACCCCCTACTGGAGATGTGCCCGCAACCAATGTACATGCCCTTGACCGGAATCGAGCCTGGGACTTTTCAGTCCACAGACCAACTCTCTACCACTGAGCCAAACTGGTTTCGGCAATGTTTCTAACTCTTTATCCCTCTCTCTTCCTCTCTGTAAAAAATCAACTATATATATATATATATATATATATATATATATATATATATATATGGAGCAAATGAGGTAAAGCAGAGTCAATGGGCAGAAAGGAAAGCAGCCAGAATAGTAAGACTTTGAAGGAGTGTTCTGTGCAAAGATAGTAAGTATGGCCATTACAAAAAGCTGAAAATAGTTAATAAATAAATTCTCAGCATGCTTTTCCCATTGTGCCCTTGATCGTATTTAGAATAAGATGATTTAAAAATTTTAAACATGCACCATAGCTTTATTGTATGCCTTGGCTGGCTAGTTCAGGGACAGGTGGTAAGATGCCTCCCTCTTGGCCAAAAGCTTGTCCTTCCTGCTCCTCAAAGTCAATGTTATTTTTATAGTATGATGCTTATAGAGTCCCTTTCTTAGCATTTTTTCCTACTCTGCAAATTTCTTCTAGATACTTCTCTCCTCTATAATAGAACAACAGTGCTAAGTCCTTGCAAATACTTAATAAATCAGTAGCCTGGATTGGTGTTAACATTCTTAATTTAAATTCACGGAGATTTCAGCTGTGTTGTTTGTTGAGGAACACTGACATAATAAGAAAGAGATTTAAAAGTATGTCTTGGTGGCAAAATAGATCAATAGACATATTTTATCATTTTTGCCAGAGCCAATCATCTCCTTGTTTGATAATCACATAGCAGCCAATCTTCCACTAAGTGCTACCTCTTGCACACCCTATTCTTCTCACTCACTGCTGTGAAAAGCCATACTAAATCTGACTCCGAGACCCTGTAAATTCTTTCTCTTTCCTCCTCATATCTTCCCTCTCCCAACTCTCACCTATGAAATAACCTAAAATAAATAAGGATCAGCAGGAAGATGGCTCTTAGAGTAAGCCCATTTGTTTTATTACCAGCACTCATAAGTAACTCCCTTCCTCTCTGGCTTATAACATCTCACAGTAACAATGTGTTCAAGATCCTTCAGGATGGTAAAGCAATGGATGCTTAGCTCTAAGGCAGGAGGAATGCTACAAGATGATGACTAAGTACTGAGGGGAGGTTCTTCAGCCTCACAAAGAGCAATCTTTTGTGGCAGAAACACAGCCAGGCTCGAAGAGAGAAGCAGACCAAAGAAACTAAAAGCAGAGAATGTGATTAAATTATTTATAATGATGCTGCAGCTGTATTGATCAGAGGGAGTTTTCTCTCTTAACCCTACCTTCCCCAAACCTTAAGAAGCTGTATGTCCTCCCTCAAAGAATTATGCCCCAATGTGAAAGGGTGTGGGGTGGGTTACTGGTGAGTATCTTAGTTAAGAAAAGACTGGTTATCCAATATAGTTCTACCATATCTAATGACAAGCAAACTGATGATCTCTTTGCATATCTCATTTCCTAGGAAAGAAATGGTATATCATTTCACAGTGTACCCTGAAGCAAAAAGGTTCTGCCCTCCCTACCAGCATCATATTACCTCAGCATTGAAAAACCTAATACAAAATTGAAGCTTTCAAAGCTTAGCATGGTATTAAAAGAGCATTTATATATATATATTTTTAAGAGCATTTTTTAAAATATATTTTATTTATTTTGTACAGAGAGGAAGGGAGAGAGATAGAGAGTTAGAAACATCGATGAGAGAGAGTCATCAATCAGCTGCCTCCTGCACACCCCCCACTGGGGATATGCCCGCAACCAAGGTACATGCCCTTGACCGGAATCGAACCCGGGTCCCCTCAGTCCCCAAGCCGACGCTCTATCCACTGAGCCAAACCGGTTTTGGCTAAGAGCATTTATATTTTAAGAATCATGTATACTGTTGAATCTGCCCTGCCAGAACACTACCAGGCCCATAGCAGGTGGTCGGTCACATTGAATACATGAATGAATGTTCTTAACATATTTGGATTCAGTGGATGGATTTGGGATTCAGCCACTAAAGGCCATGAGCTCAGCAGTGTGTTGGGGGGCGAGGGCGGGGGGGAGATACTGGCTTCTGTGCCTAAGTATCTAAGTACTAGTCTAAGTTGGCCATTCTAGCTTCCTCCTGGGTAGGGTCTTGCTTGCTAGAGAAATAACATGTTCTGGGGGATTAAGGGTTAATTAGAATATGTGCACACAGCTCCAACTTTGCCACTGGGAAACTCTAAGAATCCATTCTTTGCCCTTAAATAAGCCCAAAGCAGTTTGCCACCCTCTTTAGGCCAAAGATTGTGTGTGATAAGCTTTGGAGGAAAATAAACTGTTAGGAGATACAGTGTCCTTTTCACCTCAGGAGAGAGGGGACTTGAAAAGAAAATGCTGATTACTGGTACTAACCTCACCAGCACTTCATTTGAAAAAAACAAAATCCTGTTCTGATGTGGCTCATTCCAAGAAGAAATTCTAGGCATTTGTTTTAAATGGGTGTTGAAAAGCCATCTGGGACAGGTATAATCTACATTACAGACGACTTTGGCTAATGTGCCACCTTCCTAATAGTTAACGTTTTATGGAATTCAACCAAAAAGCACATTATTAGAAAAGGAGGAGACATTAGGTAGATGTGCCTCATTTTATATTATTTTGGTTTGTTTTGTTTGGTGATATTTCATCAGATCAGAGAGTACTAGAAATAATCAGGTTTCAGCAGGGGCCTAAAAATGGCATCAGTCTTGGATTTGGGATGAGAAGGAAGCTGGAGACCCTGCAAAGGTTCCTGTCCCTCCATCCCAAATTCCTATGACAGATCATATGCTTTTTTCTTTTCTTTTTTTTTTTTAATTAATAGCAGTATTTGAATAAAGAAATAGATACTGTGTGAGCCAGAAATCATTATAAAGAATCCTGAAATATGCAAAGCAGATGGAATAATGTTAACAGAGATAAGCTACTACCTAAAACTGGGAACAACTTCCAGTGTGCTACAGGCTCAGAAAGGGCAGATTCAGGGAACAGAAAGAGCCCTAGGCCACCAGGAAGTACTGAGATGGGACAAAATGTAGGCAGTAGATAAAAAATGCTGGAGAACATGTTATTCCATCAGATTCAGTAATGTATTAATAGGATTATATGTCATAACCAAGCAGGATTTATGCCAGAGATGTTCAAAATTGGGAAAAAAATATTAATGTTATTTGCTCTGTTACTAGATTAAATATGAAAACCATGCACTCATGCAAATAGATGTTTCAGAAATGCATTTGACAAAATTCAAAAGGTATATCTAATTTAAAACTTTTTTAGCATAATAGGAATAGAAAGAACCTTCTTAACCCACATGAAGGATATTATTAATCTGAAGCCCTTATTCTCCAAAATCCTCAGGTACAAAGGTGAACTATTAGGAAGGTTTCCATTAAAGTCAGAAATAAGACAAGAATGACTGTCACTTCTGATATCCAACATTATACTGGATATTCTAACAAATAAAAATAAGACAAGAACAAAATAATCTGTAAATATTATCAAAGTAGGGGAAATAGTCTATATATTCAGATATTTGTCCTTTTTAAAATCTCAGGAGCATCGGCTAACAAACTATTACAAATAATAATAAAATCCAACAAGGCAATCAGAAACAAGATCAACAGACAAAAACTATAGCATTCAAACTTACTAGCAAATATACACGTGAAGGATATTACTATAGACTGTGTGTATCTCCTCAAAAACTCATATATTTGTGAAGACATGACCCCTATGACATGTATTTTGAATCCTAACCACAGTGGTGTCAGGAAGTGGGTGGGCCTTTGAGAGGTTATTAGGTCATGTCCATGGGGCCCTCAAGAATGAGATTAGTGCATCTGTAAGGAGACCCTGGAGAGCTCTCCCACCTCTCATGCTGAGGGAGGGAACAGTGGGAAGACACTGCCACTTGCTTGTGTTTAGGTGTGAACTTCTTTGTATTTAACTTTCTATGGGTTTATTGAGTTCTTGGATCTGTAGATTGTTTTCCATCAGATTTGGGAAGTTTTACCTATTATTTCTCCAAATATTTTCTGTGCCTTCCTCTGTTTCTCCTCTTTCTCAACACACACACACACACACACACATTTTGTATTCTTATATGGAGTAGAAAATATGGATACAACATAAATTATTCAAGCATTTCTTAATTTGTGAAAATTAAATTGCTTCCAATTTTTTAACAGTATAAACAATGTTACAATTAACATTATGTATATATCTCCTTGAAGGATGCTTCTTCAAACAGATCCGGAAAAGTGAAGTTGCTGAGTCATTTAACATTTTAGACACTGTTGCCAAATTGCCCTCCAAAATAACTATATCAATACTCAAAACCAAAAGTTCTTAAAGCTACACACATTTCCTTACACTCTTAAAAATTTGTATTATCACCCTAGCTGGTTTGGTTCAATGGATAGAACATTGGTCTGTGGACTGAAGAGTCCAGGTTTTGATTCTGATTAAGGGTAGATATCTCCTTTGCAAGCTAGGTCATGTATAGGAGGTAACCAATCAACATTGATGTTTCTCCCTTTCTCCCCCTTTCTTCCACTCTCTCTAAAAATCAATGGAAAAAATATCCTCAGGTGAGGATTAACAACATCAACAAAATTTCTACTATCAATTTATTTTAATTGCTGATAACCTAATGAATGAATGATGGGGTCTCATTGTTTTCATTTCTATTTCCTTTGTTACTATTATGGTTGCACATTTCATGCTTATTGGTCATTTTTCCCCCCCATTTTAAAATATTTTGTTTTTATCCCTTATTTATTTTTCTATTAGGTGTTTTTTTTTCTTATTGATTTATAAGAGGTTCTTTATATATTCTTAAATGTATTCTTTATCTGTTATATATGTTGCAAATGCATTTCTTTTAACATTGTTATCTTTTGATGTACAGAAGTTTTCTCAACACCATTTGACGTATGCTCTCATCACTAATTGAAAATGTCACTGTTATTATTTAGTAGGTGAATATAAATCATGTAAATTCTAATTGTGAGTTTTTTTCTAGATTTTCTGTTTTAATGATTTATTTGTCCATTCTTATACCAATTTTTCTAATTATTATGGCTTCATTTTTCTATTTGCTAGGACATTGTTCTTTTATAAATTGCTTTGGGCATTTGTGTGCATTTCTTTTTTGAATTTTATTTATTTATTTATTTTTTAATAGAATTTATTGGGGTGATATTGGTTCACAAAACAATATAGGTTTCAATTGTATAACTCAACCAAATACCATCTGGACACTGCATTCATCATCCCAAGCAAAGTCTCTTTCCGTTCCCATGTCCCCATTACCCACCCCCCTCCCCTTTGCCCACATCCACCTAGCTCTCTTTCCCTCTGGCTATCACCCTACTGTTGTCAGTGACTGTGTGTTATAAATATACTAGAGACCCGGTGCATGGATTCATACTCCGGTGGGGTTCCCTCGGCCTGGCCTGTGGGGATTGGGCCAAAACCAGCTCTCTGACATCCCTCTCAGATTTCCAGAGGGCACAGGGAAGGGACCGCAGGGCTAGGGAGGGACCATGTGAGGGCTCCAGGGCATATTCCGCATGTCTCACCCATCCCGATAGGCCAGATCCCAGTAGCAAGCTAACCTACAAATCAGAGCATCTGCCTTTGGTCTAGTGGTCTAATGAACAGTAGGACATTTACCATATTAGGCTTTTGTTATATAGGATATATAGTGTTTTATTTTTGCTTAATCCCTCTATTTGAGAGTTTTTATGCAATTGTCTTGAATTTACAGATTAATTAAAAGATTGAAGAAATTCATTGTTAACAGATTGTCTTACAAGAGATACTAAAGGAAATCTTCAGCATGAAAGGAAATGATTATAGATAATAAGATGATGAGCACCAGAACTGATCAATTTATGAGTAAATAAATACTATACATATATTTTTCTTAATTTATTTTTAAAAAATGCAGTTTTGTTAGATTGTGTAAAGCAATAATTATAACACTGGATTGTTGCATTTATAACATATGTAGAAGTAATATGCATGACAATGAGGGAGGAGTACTGGAACTACTACATTTTGGCAGATTAAATCAATATAAATCTAAAGTAGATTGGGATCAGTTGAGTTATATTTTAGTCCCTAGAGTAACTATTTAAAAATAATAATTTTGTTAAAAGTCAACAAAAGAATGAAATAGATATACTAATAAATATTTCACACACAAAAGACAATAAAGGAGGAACAGAAGAACAAAGACATAAGACATGGAAAAACAACTCTAGCTACTGGTATTCATGGAACACTCCATCCAACAGCAGAATACATATTCTTTTTAAGCACACAGGGAGTATTACCTCCAAACAGATGATATAATAGGCCAAGGTGAGCAAACTACAGCCCAAGCGCCAGCTACCTAATTTATTTTTAATCTTCATCTGAGGATGTGTGGTTTCTTTTAAAATATATTTTTATTGCTTTCAGAGAGGAAGAGGGAGAGAGAG